TTCCTGAAAGGATTTATAAAAATCATTTTAAACATTGCATCAATAAAATATCTTCTAGCCAAATGGCAAATATCATTCAAACTGGATTGAAACAATTTGAATATTCAATTCTTCAATCATTTTCTAAGAATAAATACAATTATGCTTTACAAAATCATGCATTGTCAGGAAAGTCAATGCCAGCTGTTTTAGATGAATTTCAAAACTTTCCAAGGAATTTTGATCTACTAATGGATTGTGGGATTGTAATTGAAAAGTTTATGACAAAGCGTATGCTGGAAAAAATTAAAAATTTTAAAAATACTGAATAGTTGCAAATTCATTTCTGTTGATAAAAGAGATAAATATATAAACTAGACTGTTGATCAACTGCAAAGTGTTAATTAGGTATTAGAGGGCAAGCCTCAAAAGTATTTAAACCATAATTGTATCTCATCTTATCATCTGAGAAGATTGTCTGAAAACAACTTTAGCCTTCTACTCTTCAGAATTGGATGTTAAATTTTGGCATAATTTGACAACCTTCTACTACAAACTATCTACTCTTCCTTTCAACTTTTATATTGCTGATTTCAATTAAATATTTGTGCAAAAAAGTCATTTTTGTTGTAACTGTGCAAAAATATAAATTGATCAAGTAGAAGTAGTAAATTATTTATCCTTATCATTAGGGCCAGAAAGTGTTATTCTACACAATGTGTTTCATAGGAAAAAGATATAAAATTCTATAAATTAACAAAACATTTTGACACACCTTGTCTAAATGAAAGTAAGTCAACACTGCTTATCTCTATTAGTGCAATCGGCAGTGCAATACTAGTTCAATACTGCTAATCAATAATGGAACAAAGCTGACAAATGCATGGTGAACTATTTATAAATGTTTAGGGTTTTACCCTAGTAAAACAATATTTCCATGGCCATTTTCCAAACACAACCAATGTTGTGGCTATTTTTGTATTTTTCAAAAAACAATATTTATATAAAAACAGTAAAATATTCTACTCCAAAAACAGGAGGATTTTTCTTTGTTTCTCTAAAAGTATTTCAATAATTCCACCATTGTTAATTCCTATGAAATAAAAAGTCTTTGTAATGTAGATTTATATCTATAGTCTAAACATCTAAGTGCACATTTTCTCTTGTTATCTTCTCTTCCAAAAAAGACTTTTATTTATCTATCAACATTTTAGTTGTATTATATTAGAAAATGAGAAAAATTATGTCTTACTTATGAATACGTATTTAACCAAAATTACAATTACAATTGCAGCTATAGCGAGTCCTCCAATAACACCGCCTAATATCTTTCTTTGTTTCTTTTCCAGTTTAAATGTCTTTTTCTTTTGTTGATTATTATTATGATGATCTAAAACTGGAACTGGAGGTGCATCGAGATTAGCAACGGGTATAGGAACATTGCAAGATGGAGGAGGAGGCGCAGTAGGAGGAAGAGGAATAGTAGTAAAATTTGTAGATTTACACGCTTCACTATACGAAGGAAGGTGGCTGTTCTTGATTGTTCATGACACAAAATCTTTGTTCGCTTCTTCCAATAGAGGTTTTGTAGACAATATGTCTTTCAAGATTTGATTTATTTTAGATATAACAAATATAATACAAGAATCAAACATGGAAATTCTGAATAATAAATATTTCCGATAAAAATTTTATAATGTCATTTCTAGTATTTAGTTTCGTATAAAATAATATAAAGTTATCTTACCAGGCCTAAATTTTTACAATGATTTACCACTCACATTTAGATAAAATAAAATACTGGTGTTGGATTCTAGTTTCATGATGTTTCATTAGTCATTTTGCAATAAATTCTGTTACAAACTGTCTTTACTGTTATCAGTTATCTTATGACTATTTAACAATAAATTTCAAAGCTGGATTTTGGATTGAAAAGAGGAAGACAGAAGCTGATTTCTACTAAGGAGGGGGATGGGGGTTGGGATCTCTTCTATGGGTTAGGAGTAATGGAAAAGGTTAGTCAAGTCTGAACTTTTGGAGCAACAGAAATTTTTCTAACTTGATCGTTAGAAAAAAAATATCAGCTAGACCATCACAAATCTTCAATAATCTATCTCTCATTTCTTCATTTAAACTTCCTGTTTCTCCATACCATCCTCTTTTTGGAGTCGAGATAAAACATTCACAAATGAGAAATTCTGTTGGCCCAGAACAGAGCTGACACTAGTCTTGAATAAAATACATTTCAATCAATATAACAACAACAGTGACATCTGTATTTGAACTTCACAATAAAGAATAAGGTAAAGAGTAGATAAAAAATATTAAAACTACTTTTAAATATCATTCATTTATCAGAAAAAGGAGCGTTAATTAAACTTTTCAAATTGCAATTAGATGAATAATACAGAAGAGAAAAATCCAAAAATGTCTGACGTTACCTAACCTTAACAGTGTGGTTGAAACTATTTTTTAAACTTTTGTTCTTAACCTTCATGATGATAATGTATTGCCTTAATGATTTTTAATGAGATTTGAAGTGGATTAATCAAGATACAGACGAGAACTATTGATCAACGACGTTTTTTTTTCTTGTAAAAAAAAGTAGACATGGCCAATGACCCTTAGGTGGTGTATGAGAAAGTGCCTCTTAAAAGACGTATCGTTAGGATACACTCATAAAAGTCTCTCTTCTTTATCAAACAAAATTCAATATGGAACTGTTGAAAATGCATAGAAAAAAAGTAGGCCTACATTTCTTACAATTTCGTACAAAATGAATATAATTGTATTGTGTATACGTGATACACTAGTCAATTTTATAGACACTCTCACAGTCAGAAACTCCAGGCTTTGGGGTAGAAACGTACTCGGATTGCATTTGGTGTGAAGTATCCATAATAGGCATCCAGATACATTGGTGTACTCGATAGTTATACATATATAGTTTTTTACGTTTGCAATTTAAACAGCCAAAATGGCGCCAAACTGTCCAAATTTATTTGACTCGGAATACCACATTCCAATAAGATGAGAGTCCAGAATAAAGAAGAAACAACTATTTAAATGAAAGAATGACTAACCAGAACAATGCAATAAAATTAGAGATGAACACACAGATAGAATTCGTCATTCATTCATTTGCTGAAGGAACAGCCTTAGAACGAATCTTAGATAGAACTACACCACCTTATCAACCCAATAACATTTTGGATATTGACCGAATTCAAGACACTCTAAAGGTCATCTTCTTGTCTATAGCAAGAGCTATCACATCTATTGAAAAAGGATTCTATATTTCCCAACAAAACTACGAAAAAAATCAACATTCAAATGTCAATATACAGAATCTGACAACGAGTTTCCTACTTGGAATGAAAACAGTAAAATTCAGACTCAATGAATAATCCTTCAAACACAAATTCAAAATGCTAATTTCCTTACAATCATCCATGTTTGGCATAATATTCATCATATATTTAATGCCAATCTTGGAAGGGAAAGGTACACTAGTTCAACTACTCAACCTATTCGCTTGGGCAATCGCAGGTCATACGAACCAAAGCCGGATAAGTTTTATGAATAATAATTTGGGGCGAAACATTGTAGCATCGCTAATTCATTTCATGTTAAGGCCAAAATGAATGTAAGGGACAGAAAAAAAGGAATAACACTCTTCACTGATGGGTTAGGATAAAGATGTGAAATAGGATATGTAATATTCAGAATTTTATATAATTTTGATAATGATATCAAATTAGGTCAAATATATTTTCCATTCGCTAATGAGGGAGAAAAAAAGTATAATAGCTTTAGACACCAGATCAGAATAGAACAATTCCTAACTTGGAAAAATAGACTTGAATTCAATGTTACTGTGGACAAATGTTTTAGCATTACGTGTATATGACATTCAGTTCTCTTTTACAGACATGTGAAGGAGAGCAAGAAAATTCTTTGTATAAATCTTTTGAATTGTCCAGATAGAATTCTCTTCAAACTACGTAAAAGACTTGAATATTTTTAAGGCAGATGTCTCTAAACTCAAACACGTCAGGTATTGATGTTTGTGTTCAAAAATTGGTTTTGAGTAGAAGTGAGAGAGTGAAACTGTATCTGGATTAAAGCACTTGAAAGGTTAAATTGTACTCATTTTTCATTTTGTACATTTATCTATTCGATTGATGATGATAGAATGATTTTATGATAATAATGAATATTAATGTACGAGTCACATGACTAGATGTGTTTCGAAAAAAAAATAAAAGTGTAAAGAATTTATCAACTGACCTGTTTAGAAATTGAATAGAAAATACTTTGGTCTTAGTTTAAAACTGGAACAGTGTCTTTTAAAAAAGTTATTTGACTATTATGAAAGAATTTAATATGTGAAGACATGACGTCATAAAGAAGCTAACCTTTTATATATAAATTCTTTAGATTGGCCCTGGTTATTATAATTAAGCAATATTGAACTAGTATTGAGTAGTATATTCTTGTAAGCCTAAAGCGCAATAATCCTTATTTCCGCAATTGTTTGAAAATAGTTACAGCTTAAAAATACTAGTTGTAATGAATAGCAGGTTAATTTTTCATAATCCTAGAAAAGGCCTACTGTAGCCCAAAAACTCTTCTCAATCGAAGCGATCATTTATGTCTCCTATGTTAATAAAGAATTAGACCAATCTTTAAAATAAAAGTCTGACGTAGCCTTTTGGACACGGATGCTAATGACAGGCATCCTTCAGTTTACAGACATTTACACTTACAATTATTTTGATTCAAATGACACTCATATGAGTAGACTATGTCCATAAACGAGAACTGTACTCAGTTCACATATACACCAAATGATGAACCATTTATTCAAACTAGTATTAAATTCAAGTCTGTTTTTCTGCGAAATGAGAAGTTCTATTTAACTGTAACACTTACAATTTTTCTTTTTGAAAAGTGAATAGAAAAGGGTAATGGCCTAAGTAAAAAATATTAGTATATAAGTAGAAAATTTTTAGATACAACATCAATCTTACAATCATGCATTGCAAGCGCTACGAAGGAAAGATAATTGCTAAAAACTACAATACTTTTCGACCACGTTATCCAGAATCTTTAAGTGAAGCTATCCTTCAATTTCTGGATCAAAAAGTTTGTTCAATTTTTTTTCTTAGATTTACAAGTTTAATAACTTTTTTTTTTAAAACAGCTTCCGAAAAGTTTTAGTAGGAAATTGGCTTTAGATGTTGGATGCGGTTCTGGACAAAGTACAGAATGTATTGCTCCATTCTTTGAAAATGTTATCGGTGTTGATATCAGTAAAGATCAGATATCAGAAGGAAGAAAAAACAACCAATTTGAAAATGTTGAATATTTGTAAGTAGTGGAGAGGAAAATCATTTTCTCTTGTTTAATAATTAAATATGTTATATCTTTCAGAGTTGGAAGTTTTGACAGACTTCCGGCCAAAGACAATTCCGTATCGTTAGTTATCTGTGGAACGGCTGCTCATTGGTTTAATCCTATTGATGAATTTTATAAAGAAGCGAAAAGGGTTCTTATTCCAGGTGGTTGTATCGCAATTTTTGGCTATTCAAACTCTTTTATTTCTGGATTACCGACATCCTTAAACAATACGTTGAATGTTTTTTTTCAAACTGTAAGATATTCATCAACACAATCGAAATAGAATCTAAAAAACATAAATCTCGAATCATTTTTTTAGATTTTTAGTAAAATTACAACTGAAATTCCGAAAGGAATGGAAAATTTGTTAAACGAATATCAAGATTTCGATATTCCATTCGAAGATGTCATCAGGTAAATTACGGCAACATTTTTTCTGTCTCTTATAAGCCTACCATCTGTTTTTTAATTTTCAACAGGAGCAACACATTGTCAATGTCAAAGAAGTCAACGTTTAACAGCTATGTTGGTTTTTATAAATCTGTATCTCTGTATAGATCGTACAAAGAAAAGAATAACAAAGATCCATTTGAAGAAAATACAAAAGAGTAAGTTCCAAATTCGAAATTGTTTTTATATATAAAAAAAAAACTTGATGACATTTTCAACAGAATGAAAGAAGTACGAAATAATAAACTGTTCAATCCGGAACAGGAATTTAACGTAAATTGGCCTATTTGTCTTATATGCGGAAGAAAAGGGAAAAATGAAAATTCTTTTGGTTTAAATAGAAATTAAAGAGAAAAGAGACAGAACCTAATGTACAATTTCTTTGTGCTTTATAAGATTAAATACTAATTTGGCCTATATAGTTAATTCATTACATAAAGCAGTTTGTAAGTGTTTTTTTTTTCACAAATGTATAAATTAATTAAGCAGAAAGTAGATCATCAACTGTTGAATAATTATTGATAAAAATTGAAAAATGTACAGACAAATGTAAATTCATACAGTATGAAAAGAAAAGAGATACTCTTCAGTTTGCAGCATTAATTATTGATTTGGATTATCCAAATCTATTCTGTATTGTGTTTGTATTTCCAAAGTTTTTTTTGGCGGTAATCCTTTTAAAAAGATTAGTGTAAAATTTCTTGATTTTTAATCTAATAGATGATTTCGTATAACCATGAAGAAGGGCATTTATTGTTGAATTTGAAACAATAATTACTGTAAATACTTCTGTAATAATTTGAAATTCGTATCTGGAGAAGATTTTTCTCTCTTCCACTGCATTGTACTTAGTAATTGTTAATGTAGCTGGTAAAGCCCATAATAAACAATTGATTATTAATAAGCATGCTAAAATTCGGATGCTACTCCCTTCAGATTTTATATTATTAGCGTTCGATACATCAGAAATTGCTTTTCTCTGTTTTCTTATCGCTCTTAATATAGGAATATACAATAAGAAACTGGTAAAAGCATTAGGTAAAACAGTAGAGAATGACCAAAAAAACATGTACGTAAAAGGAAAAACATTGTGAGTTTCACATTGAAAAGTTATATTATGCTGCAAAATATATTCATATCTATTCCAGCCAATTGCAGTTGGAAGTAGACAAATGGTAAAATTGATTAACCATATGCAAGAAAGCAATATAAAAGCTTTCTTAATTGTCCAAATTTTGTAAAATGATAAAGGTTTTACAACAGCCAAAAACTTTTCAAATGTAATTAGAGTTAATGTAAATGATGATACTGCAACTATCATAAAAATAATTTCATATGCTAAAAGACATTTATAATAGCTTAGGTCTTTACTATGAAATAGAATAAAAATGAATATACTTATTGAATATAAAATATCTGTAAAGGTTAGTGCTGTAACACCAAAATTATGTAATTTCCATAAATCTTTATTAATAATATGAATAATGATTAAATTAAAATTTAAAATTAAACCTGCAAATTGGTTGCAGCTTGATATAACTGTTAAATAAATGTTGTCGAACACCATTGTACTTTGTTGTATTGTAATTGTAGGAATTTCTGGTTCGTCACAACTGTAATCGTCCTTTCCAATCATTTACCAACTTGCCAAAGTACTGGTCCAAATAGAACCTTTAAAGTTCGTCCACAAATAGTCTAACAAAGGCAATTTCGGTAGAAATTGATTAACAAAACACCAGTATTTCGTCCAAAGAATATGTATTGAGTAAAATGAGCTTCTAGTTCTAAACAAGCTAGTTTAAACAACTAGCTGACGGTTAGAAAACTGAACTATCAACTGTTAATTTCGTAGGGTTTATATACTCTTTTAAGGGTTGATAGTTCACAAATTTCAATGTTCACAAAAACAAAAGTAACATTTGAAGACAAAGAAAAGTTCTAAATATGGTCATGTTTTTATTGTTTTCCTCTTCTAAATAATAGTTGAATTTCGAAGGTTGGAGAGTTGCATAAGATGTAACAATTTTAGTAGGACAAGTCCAACAATCAAGAAAACATGTAGATTGTATATTTGACCATTTTTATATTCTACCTTAATAATGATATTCAATTGATTGAGTTAGTAAATTTAGCATCAGCATATAAGGAGGAAGTATATCTGATTAATGCATGTTAAAAAGAACAGTATTGTGTATACAATACTGTTGAATAGTGAATATAATCTAACCTTAGAATTTAAGCATAATTGATAATTAATTGAACTAGTTTTAGTTCGAAATCATAAATTTATGGATTAATAAATTGTAATATTAATGCTAGGTTGCAAATAGCAAATATTCTTTATATAATTCAATAGGTTTTATTACTGCATAATGTGTATGCACTGCCCTATGCGAAACTAGGTCACTACTGCTTATCTTTATCAGTGCTATCTGCATAGTACAATACTGGTTCAATACTACTTCTCTATTGTAGAATATAGCTGACGAATGTATGTGTACAAACATCCCACTCCTTTAAGACCTTGCTTCCACGAAAGGTCTAGGACTTGTGACAATTATGTTATCACCACTTTTTCTGAACATAGGATAATTTTGCAGTTCTATTTCTTCTGATTCAGCTGTTGGAGCTGAAGGTAATCTTTTTGTTTTTGTCAGTAGTTTAGACAGTCTGGTAAATTGAACTCTTTTCAGTTTTTTCTTCCAAATAAAGTAGATGAAGAATCCAATTCCAATCAAGAGTATAATTGGCAGAAGTGTGTCTATTAGTATTTTGAAAGGTTTTCTTATCCATGAAGAAAATAGATGTTGTGTTGGTGACAAGGCTGCATCAATTCCTAAATCATTTGCAAAGTTAATATGCTCTCTATGCTTAGTCAAAGTATCCTGTATGTATTCCAAAACTTGTTGTATCTGATAATGTTTCTTGCCCACATCTTCTTTTATACCTAGTTGTAATAATTCTGTGAGTCTGACAACTTCTAGTTTTGGTTCTTCAATTTGACTGTTGATTTTCATTCTGATTGATTGTGCTGCTGCTGTTTGGAACCTGCATCCTTTCCTTGTATAATAGATAAATGTCTTCTTGCCAGAATGTATGGCATATTGATTTTGTTCTGCATCCAAAGGATTTTTCTTGATCTTGAAGAGATGCTGAGTTTGGTCACATGTACCATATCTTATGTCTTCTTTTGTGATGTGGTAAGCATGATGAAGTATTGGATCAATTGAGAATAGGAGATCTTTATATTTGATCAGAAATTCTTTTGAACATAATCCATTTTTTGTTATAATTGTTGTGTCACAAACTACTTGAACAGTTTTTAATTCTGTACATGTATTGAGGGTTGTTAGATCTCCTAACCATGTACTATGGGTTCCATGTTTAGATCCAAGTATTGTTTGTAGTTGAGGTGATAGTGGTGTAAGTAGGGCTATCATCTTGTTTCTCATGATAAATTCTTTGCATAAAAGTTGTGAAACTTGTTTAAAAACTGTTTGTAAATTTTGAAAATTTTTGTCAATATTGTTTAGTAGTGCAGCTGTTCTTATAGCATCTTTTATATTTATTTGGTGGGATTCTGGAATCTCTATGTTTTCTAATTGTTTCCTCTTCCATTTGTGATTTATTGGTTTTCTTTGTAAAAGTGTATATTTGCCATTTTCTGTATGAATTTGAAATTGTGTATCTTTTGGGCTTTGATACCAAATGTTCATGTTTGGGAGTGGGTTGAAAGTAACTGGTTTTTTGTCCAATTCAAAATCTTGTGATCTTACTGGTCTGGCAGGTTTTAGCTTTGTTGTTTTCAGCATTTTTAGTATGTATTTGTTGTGAATATCCCAGATGTCTGGAGAAATAATTTCTTTGACAAACCAAGTCCTCACTAATGGTGTTGCATGATTTTTTATCAGCATATGGTAGGTTTTGTCACCATCTCTATACCAATCATTATATGTTAAAATATCTTGTATTTCTGTGACATTGGCCTTTCTTAGTGATGATTTCTTTCCAATATATTTCTCCAATCTATTAACTTCTTTATTTGAAATGATCTTGTATTTTGTATCCTCTATTATTTTATTGTCAGCATAATTAGAATTTGTAAGATCAGTTCTAAGTAAGTCATATTCTTTCTGGGGTACCAATACTCTGGTACCAGGACCACCATATCCTTTGATATATCTGTCTTGGTAAGGTAAATCCATTATTGCATAGTTGGGGCAGGAAAAATATCCTCCAAGTTTTACACATTCCACATTATGGGAAACTATTTTCCATGGTGAAACATGGCCTAGAAGACTTTGGCCTTTTTCTGGATTAAATATAATGATTGAATCCAAAGTTCTACAAAATTTTTGTTTAATAGAACAGTCTTCTAAATATTCCAAATTTGTGGTTATTTTATCTTGACTTGGATTCCAATAAGCCTTGCCAATTTGAAGGATTGTTGTAAATTCTTCCACCACTGTGGTTCTTGGCCATTTGTAATTTGGTCCTTTGTTTTCATTATACATAAGAAGTTTGCCTTTTTCAATTAGGTTTTGTCCATTTAAGGTTTTGTGTGTGTATAGCATTGTTCTGCATTGTTTTTCACTTAAGGCAAGTGTTTGTTTTTCAATTCTGTGTTTCTTTGCTCCAAAAAAGTAATGAGTGTAGAAATTGATTCTTCTTTTCACTAAACACTTGACAGCTTGAATTGCCAAATTGTCAGCTTTAATTTCATAGATGTTAGCTACAATTTTGATCATTTGTTTAGTTTCAAAGGTACATACTGGTTCATCTGCTAAATCAAATGATTGGTGTACTTGTTGTCCTTGACAAAACTGTACTGATGGTAGCATTCTTACAGTTATGTTTGCTTTTGTTATGGATACATTTGCTTGGACCAAGTTTAAACAGCATATTGCTAACAGTGTATAAATTATTGATCCTCTGATAGGAAGCATTCCACCATTTGTTTGGTGTTTCCGAATTATGGAGAAAACGTCCACTGGAGAAAACGTCCACTGATTGGAGAAAACGTCCACTGGTCGGAGAAAACGTCCACTGGAGAAAACGTCCACTATGTGAAGAATATATTAAAAAATACTTTTTCAAATTTAAATTTTTATTATTGATTTTGAGATATATCCAATACATTCCCATAATGCAATCACTTTTGG